GTAAGAAATATTTCTTTGCAGAATCACAAGTCCGCTATGCAAGACAAGGCCCACAACTACATAGCTCTCTGCACCCATTTACCCCTCCTCATGTACTGGGTTGCCCATGATGAGCAAGGCAAGTTCCAAACACAACACAACCATGGTGTATTGCTTCCTGAGTATTCACCCATTAGGATGCCCTGAGAGGAACTGAACTGATGTTCTTATATGAAAAGAACTTTCTTACCATTCGTTTTCTTTTTCTCCACATCTGAACAAATTGCTTGTGTTCTTTGTAGATCTTTATTACAAAAGAAGGTAAATTAAGGTTTAAGGTTAACGATCTCATGGCAAGTATTAATAAGTAAATACTAGCTCCATAGCCAAATGTTTCATACTAAAACTGGAAATATGGTTACTTCCATGATCTCACCTTATCTTTTTGTGCTGGTGTGACGTGATTTGTAGCTGAAAGAAAAGATTAATAGAGGAGGTTGCATTTGAAATACACAATTTTGTTATCTTTTTTAAATTTGAATTTATGAAACTGCTCTATTTGGTTATGTCAACTGCAAAGTGTGGACTGTAAAGTTTGTCAATACAGTCCACATTCATCTTACACCATACCATTTCTTAGAATCTTGTCAGTAGTTTTTTGTTTTTTTTTCAATATATATCTTACTTCCGTGGGTATTCCTTACACCTGTAGGTCTATAGACACAAGCAATTCAGTGACAATGTTCAACTTACCTGACTTGATGTTCTTGATTCGTTCCTGGTATCTGTCACACTAAAGGTAGAAGAAAGGACATGCTTGTTAGTTTCAACTCGAGGTGGCCGGCCAGGGATGAAATACTTGAGCGACATATAAAATTATGAAAAGGGTCAATTTAAGTCATAAATCCTTACAACCCACTTTTCCACCTTGTTAATAGCACTTAATGAGGTGGTGATTTAACTATGGACCAATTGGTCATAAGACATATCAATCTCCCTGATGTATATATAACAGTATATTTTAAAAGATTGATCAAAACAGACCTTTGAAAAATACTTCTTTTATTTTTTACATTGTTATTCTCTGATCTTTGTCAATCCTGAGCAATAAATTCTGATGCAAATTAAACATCACAGGCTAAATTGATCTCAAACATGGGCTGATGAATACCTTTTTTGTCAGTTCTTCTAATCTAGCTTTTGCATCCTTGGTTGTCAATGTACTGTTCACATTGCGCAGCTCTAAGAGTGAGGTCACAACCAAACAAATAAGTTATCTATACTTCAGGAAGGGAAGTTTATTGGCTTAATCACTGAGCAATAGCTATGGACCCCTGGTCAAGCAGTCAGGAGTGTGAGCATTGTCAGTGTTATGCTGTGTTACAAAGCAAGACAATTTACTCTGATGGTGCCTCTCTTGACCGACTTGAGATGCACAAATAGGGTACTGAAACTCTAAAGAAAACTTGGCAAAATGTCAATGGGATAACTTGTGATGAACTGACATCCCATCCAGAGAGAGTAGTAATATTGGTAGCCATTTCATGCGGCAGAAACCGGAGTTAAGTGTTGGCACTAATGAGTTCCTCTAATTTCTATCTTCAAAAATTAATTTTGTACTGGAGAGCCATTGTATTAGTACATTCAATGGCATTACACTCAACCTTCCCATTGTGCACTATGCGTATGTCCCTTTGATTGTGTTGGCCACTGAATATTCTAAGGCATGTTATAAAATAGTCATTCCTCTCGCTCATGGTACACCAAGGAATGTCCCTCTTGTTCTTTGTATTTTCTTGGTCTACACACCAAGAAAATACCAGTGACTCATGGGATATTCCATGCTATACCACTCGAAAGTGTTGCTGAACTAGTATGTACTTAGAAAAAGAAAAACTACTACAACTACAATAACACCTGTCTCTTGTGTTTTCAAAGTTTCTTGCAACCTCTTTAACTTTTCTGTAGACATGTTGATGTTCTCATCAATTTTCTTGATTTCTTTTTCATCATAATCTCCAAACTGGTCCTGTAAATCATTTATACAAGACAAAACTATTGGTCAGAATAAGAAATAATCATTTCGAAATGCTCACTGCTAAATAACATATAAAAAAAACTTTAGTATTTTTTTCAAAAGTGCCTGAATTTGTGTGCCTTGAAAATTATTAATAAATCATTCCTTTTCCATGTTCCCATAATTTGGAATGAGGATTGAGCAAATCAATAATTCTTAGAAAATCACCCAATTTTAAATATAATAACCTTACTATAATTATACTTGTGAAAAATAAAATTTTGATGCTGCTCACCTGCTTAGGTGCATAGACTTTTTGTTTTCCATTTATCTTCTCAGTTATAATGCCTTTACTACCAAGTTTTTCCAGACTCCGTTGCACAGCCTTGCAATAAAAAGCATTTTAGAAATAAGATATTATTTTAATGCACAATACCAGAGAAGATTAAAAATGTACGGTTCGTGTGCGCTCACTTCGGAGAGAAGATCACCTATGGGAGATTCCTTCTCCCACGAGAAGAACTCATGAATAGCAGATTAGCTTTGTTATTATCATTCAAATTCTCACCGTTTTTCCATACTCTTTGTGCAGATTTGAGAAGATATCAACTGACACAAAAGAAAAGAAATTCTTGTAAGTCAAAGTGATGTCATAGTAGAGGCTTCAAGTAAAGAGTCAACAACTATGGAATTCGAAGAGGATAAGATACGTTGTGCAGCAAAAGTAAAGGACAGGAAAGTCTGTCTTTTTTAGAAGCAACTGGATATGACGAAAGGTCTTGAAATCTACATTTAACTGAATAACTTTAAGCTTATAGTCTCAAAAAGCAGAAGCTTGTAAACAAACTTTGAAGCAAATAATTTTACCAACCGGCGCTGTAGGGTCTGTTTTGTTTTGTGAGATACGCTAACACTGCATCTGATGCTGCAAAGAGAGTAAAATTCAGATATTGAAATGAATTTGATCTACAACTAACAGTAGAATTATTCATTTCCTTTATATTTACCTTCCTCTTCGGATTTCTTGCTCATTTTGTTGAAAATTTGAGCATAATTCGTTCAAGCATTTCCGCGCCAAATTTGTACCTCGCGCCACAATATTTTCATGTGGTTGTAAGTGACGTATACGTCATACCGCTGCTGATAATCGCAGGCGTTGGTATGAAAAAAAATCGAAGAACCCGTATGGTTCTCTTTCTCCTGTTCTCTTAACTCTGTGAAATCGTCCAAAATGGTGAGTAGAAATCCGTCGTTTATTCTTTGAAAACATGGCCATCGAGATGAAATACTAAATTTTTATTATAGCTGTGTTATTCTTGAATTAGGCTTTGGGTTCATTTCTTTGTATTTTTGTCAAACTTGGTCTTTTTTGCCTCGTCTCTTCGCAGGCGAAAAGAACCAAGAAGGTCGGAGTAGTAGGGAAGTATGGTACTCGATACGGTGCCTCACTTCGAAAAATGGTTAAAAAGATGGAAATCACACAGCACTCAAAGTACACATGTGTCTTCTGTGGCAAAGTAAGTGTAATATTTATTTCTGTTCAGTGGTGGAAAAACGAAAACCAAGATACTATGGAAGGACACTCTTAACTAAAGTCTGATCTATGAGCTGTAGACATGCTGCTCCTCATCTTTGGTTTTCGCGGACTCCCGACATTTTTTGCGGATTCCGTTTAATAAAATCTGCTATTTTGAGTTGACATTATTGGCTTAGATAAGAAGATTTTGATTGTATTTTGTAGGAATCCCTGAAGAGGAAATGTGTTGGTATATGGTACTGTAAGGGATGTGGAAAGACTGTAGCTGGAGGAGCTTGGGTTGTCAGGTATTTACAGTTTTCTCTTTTAATATCGGACTGAACGTCCAGTACTCTAAAGTAGAACCCTTTGGGACCAGTTCAAGCTGACTGCCTTACAGACAGGTAAGGCAAACAAGTGAATCATGCAACCATGTTTTTGCAAGAGAGGCAAGGTTTCAATAAGATTGAAGTAGATGACTGCCCCAGTTCAGCACCTGTTAGAGAGAGCAATGAGAAAGACTCACAGCAACTTCCTCTACAGGGCCAATTTTTGACAACTGCTGCCATAAGTAACAATTCTTGACACAGTACCTGACAGAGCTCTGGTGTGTTGAGGTGGTAGAGATGTCGTGACTGTATTTTTTGCATCTATTTTGTTTTTGTTTGTTTCTGTTTGTTTTCGTAATAATGAAAATATACATGTTCTCTTCAAGGTGTTCTGAACAGGATGTAGTGAAATTGTTACGGTCATGTAAACCCTTCACAATTTTTCTCCGTAACTTGTATTCTGAAAGTTTTGTCAGCATAAGTTAATGTTTGCTCCTGCATGTCATTGATTACATCTTGTCTTTCACTTTAGCACCACAGCTGCTGTCACAGTGAGGAGTGCAGTTCGGCGCCTCAGAGAGATGCAAGAGACATGATTTGTACAGTCTGGCAATAAACCAACCAGTTTCTAGTGTAAAACTTGCGTTGTTTGATGCAATCAGTTTACTACAATAATAATTGTCAGTACTGTTGAGTAAGGCATGACAAAAGTTTGGTGACTAAGTTTTAATGTTCCACTTGTGTTGTTCTCATGGGCAACTGGTTCCATTTCCAGTGGCAACTAGTTGGCCTTTGACATCATTGGCAGCAAAGGACCCTAAATTGTAGGCAATGATATTGTGACTATTGGAAATGAGGAAAGTTGCCCGTGCTAAAACCTTGTCACCAAAGGTCCGTTATGCCTTACTCAACTGGTAATCATAGTGGGTTACCTATACTGTTTGTGAAAATTTAGTGGCTTAGCTCTGCCAAATATCTCAAGCCTTAGATAGGAGGAGGGTTGTAACATGACTTACATGAGGCATTCCCCAAAACAAAACTGAAATTAAAAAAAGACCAGCTTTTATTTATTCATTGCCTTGATGTGACTGTTACATTCATTTTCCTACACAATTTATGGTACACTATAAACCCAGTGTTTTACATTTTCATGATTATAATAATTACTATAAAGTTAACTTATGATACATATAAAATCCTGGAAATTTGATTTGTCCCTTAAAATTGAACAACAACAACCTAAATGTCCCAGACCAAGTGTTGAGAAATGGCTGGATATGTTGAATAAATAACTAGCAACGGCTTGTTGAAAACCTTGCTCAATAACTCACTCTTAGCTAAAATTAATAACAACAGTCAGTACAGGCCAAGCATTCCCAAGCTCCTCACTGGTGGTGTATAATTCAATTTGATTTTTGCCCTCAGGCCACAAGCACTTGACCTGATTTAACTCATTTAAAATGAAAGTGTCTGGATATAGATGCACCATTTTCCTTTCTGTAAATCAGCTTTTCCTCTTATCCTGCAGGTAGTCATACACACTATCAAACAGCTGCAAGTATTTGTCAATGCCATCTCCATATTTGCAAAACAAGCTTGTCAAAATAATTCTCAAGGTGCACTTTTCAACAAATTGACACTCACCAAGTGGTACGTACGTACAGTGCTTCTAAAAATCTTAAATAAGAACTAGACTTCGCAGTAGCAATTATTAAACAACATAATTTTTGAAACGAAATGTTGAAAGTTGATGCACACTGAAAATATCACGGAGCACATTTTTGAGTCGTCACGTGCGGGGTTTATTGTTGGGGTGGCGAAAATATTTTGTGAGAGCAGGAGAAAATGCAAAGATATCAGTAAATGCTTTTGGTAATGACACTACACTGTCACTACACTATCACATGTAAAATTTAACACGATTGTAAGCAACTACTCTTAGCAATACCTGACATAGTGTAGTCTCTTCCGCAGCCATTTTTGAGATGTTATGCAACCATCCCTTGGCAGGACACAAAAAAAGCCTGCAGAGGAGACTAGACATTGTGTGGTGATTTTACATCAGTCCACACTTCATATGACAACTTGGAAATGGGCCATTGTAATCAATACACTCGACATCAATACCCCAACCACTTTCCCACATAATTTGACACTGATCCTAATCTGGTAGAATCAACATTGTCTGTTTCGTCAGTTGGAGTCATGCCTTCAGCCTCCGACTGGTCAAGCATCTCGTAGTCTGACACATCGGTGTTTCCAGATGAAGTCATAATGCTCTCTGGTGTTCCAGATCCCTGTCTGTGATCATTGTCTTTCGGCTCTTTCAGTTCCTGTCTTTGTTTTGGTTGTGTTGGTTTATTGTTGACTGTAGTCTTGCCGTCTGGATGAATGGCTTCAGAGTCTGATTCGGTATCTCTGTCGATGTCCGGAAATTCTAACCCCTCCATAAATTCACCTTCTTCAAATTCCAAAGTGCTGCCACCTTGGCTCAGAGATGAAAACTGTAGCTCATCCAAAAACACTGCAGAACTATCTAAACTTGGGCTTTCAACATCAGGAGTTTCCCTTCCAGAGGTTCCTAAAGACAAGCATCAAAAACAAAGTCAATGCCTGGACTTCAAAACTGTTTGTAATGCAAGTCACTACAAAATGAATCAATTTTTTGTGTGTGGTGCTGTTTCTGAACACACAGTCTATGTAATTCTTTTAAATGGCCCTCAAGAGCTGAGTTAAGGTTTTTGGTAAACAAAGCAAGGTATAATAATATGGGGATTCAATTTAGTTCCCCATGTTACTGCACAGCTCGGGTTGTGACTGGAGTTACACTTACCTTGTGTTTCCTGATCATCTTCTCTGTTTGCAATGGAGCTCAGTCCCTGGGAAATAGCTGATGTAATAAGTCCTTGAAGAAGTTTGGCTTCTACAGGTGGCACTGGAGATGATGGTTCTGACGAGCTGGATTCTTCATCTTGTAAAGGAATGTTGTCTTGATCAACAGATGTGTCATCAGTGACCGGATTGAAATCCTTTGCAAACTCATCATCACTATCTGCTGGAGCTTCTCCATCTGTTGCTTTGATATTTGAAAAATGATAAATAATTATGTATTGTCAATTAGAGATGACAGCCACAGGAGATATAAAATCCACCTGTAGACTAAGATTTTGGACAAACATTTAATTATTATGAAGACATCTATTACAGTAACATTTTTAAAAAAACATTCAACTATAAAAACTGTGTGAAAATGTTCCTTAATGGTATATTAAGAAAAAAAGCATTCAACACTTAGGTAACAACATTATCAAGTCAAAATTAGGGTTTATAAAAATAATATTGTTTATACTGAAAATTATATAATTTTTTTTTTTATTAGATTAAGAAATATGAGAAAATCAGTGGCTCTTGAAAATTTGTTTCTTGTCTCAACACTGATAAAATTAATCTGCATGCAAAAAAGTAAACAAATGATAACCAAATCCATGCAAATTTGTTTTTAATTAGTCAAGTTACATCTTTGATACCTTTTGTCACGGCATCCCTTAGTCGCTTAGTCCTGCTGTGTTGCCACTGAACAACAAATGGTCGGTAAAAAGGTTCCAATGCTTTGTTAATTGTTCTGTGTATTCCATTGTGTTTAATAACAGGCCAGAAGTACAGTGCACAAACTGAGAAAAACGTTCGAGATATTAATTGTATTACTATCTCCTAATGAATAGAGGGATATACAATACAGAATAAATTACTACAAGTCCCACTGAACTGGCAAAGTTCCCAACAATATCCATTTTTGCCAGCGTGGTTACACTTCCATAGCAGTTGTTGTTTCCGAGACCTATATTGGTTGTTTTCATGTCTACTAGAGTTGAATTATCACATACTATAAAAAAGTCATTTGAATGCCATCTCCTTGGTACCCCCTTCAAAAAGAATCTACTCTGCCTCCACGCTACAAATGCCATGGAAACAAGGAAATATACATGGCATGTTCATTCAAAACTTTTAAATGAAAACATAAAAATGAAAAGAGCGTACCTGTAGCATAACATATCTGCACCAAAGGCAAGTATTGGTAAGCAAAAACTGTGACCAGTAACAACCCAATTAAAGCAGCATAATACTGCAAGATTAAGGACACAATATCAGTTTAAAGGTTGGCATTGTGTGCCATAGCCAAACAAAAGACCAAACAATAACTAAACAATGACTCCTAAACGAGGAAATACAATGTTAATTCTCAGGATGTAGCAGTTTTGAAAAGTTGATACAAAAAATTATTCAAAAATCAGTTTTAATTATGCAAGAAAAAACCTGGAAATTATCGTACCTTATATGTGCTGTCAGTTTTCAATTTATTCAGTTTTTCATGCCAAGCAACAAAGGTAGTCCAAATCACAGCCAGTCTTGTACAAAGACGATGAAAGGACAGAGTGGTTTGTCGGCTGCAGGGACAAATTTAGAGTTCCAGTCAACTGTGTTGTTTTTGTTATTAAAAATTAAACGTAAGCTTAATTCTTATTTAACATAAATTACTTAGAAGTAACTTATTTGAATTTAGTTGTACAAGTTCACACAACTATATTCCCTCGGGGAAACCAAAATAAAGACCGACTAGCAAAACTCGAAACCGAACAATCATATAAGTTTGCTAATTGATTGCATCGCTGGTAAGCGAAGAACGATATCTCACCATGTAGATTTTCAGACAAAAACAGGAATTTTTCACTTACTTACCTATCTTTATCGCTGACTGCATCAAATCCACCTTTGATATTGAATCAAAAACACCATTATGTTGTTTGTTAGGTATGGCCAGTATGTAAATAAACATTCATCAAACACGCAGGTCTGCTACACAAGTGTAAGCTTCATTAAATTATGACGTACCTTGTACAAATTGCCACACCTTGCTTCTAATATCCTCCATCAGAAGCGATGACGCCATTGCTACTATAAGCAGCAGCACCAGGCGGAATTTGCCACTTGCCATGAGCCTATAAAACAAGATGACAACAAATGAGCGGCTCAAAATTTTACCGCTAATGCGTTCCACACATTTCATCTCACCCGAACAGAGCTGTCATCGCAATAAAATAACACAACGAATGCGACGGTTTCTCCCATAGAAGAACACTCTGAACGTAGTCCCATCTGTTTTCAAGAGGCTTTAGAAATTTTTTGACTCGTTCAATATATTCGTGATTGACGTTATATTCAGATTCCGTTGAACCTTCCACTGAATCCCCTGCGAGGTTATCGGACGCCATGTTGTTTTGAACTTATGCTTTCCCAAGGATATATGTGACGTCATGGTAAACATTCCTGACTCGGTCCCAGGTCGCCTAATTATCTTAGCGATGTTAGCTTTAGCGATATCTTTTTAAAACTTGCAAAAAAAAATCCTGTTCGGAATCTTAGCTTTGTAGTTATCAAACTGCAGTGATGTTAAGGGCTTATCATTCAACGGCTGCTAAAGTAAACACCAGCACGAACAAGAACACCCTGAAAGGGTCTTCAGACATCTTTGTAACTCCCACTTCCGGTGTTTGGACACTAAAGGAATTTCCGGTCATACAGCTGCATCATGGGTAGTTTCGTCTTGGCAATGAACGAAGATATTGAGAGTGTCTCATGAGGTGAGTAGTTTTAATCCCCTGACTTTTTTTCTGTTTACAAGTTCGGCCAATATCGCCAACTGCTCGAAAATATGAGACTCTGTGGTTTATTTGAACTCCACTGTTTTTGTCGCCGTTCGATCTTCGGGAAGAATGTTCTTTCCCGGCTTTTTCATCTCTATCGGAAATGTATGAATGGACAGCTGGAGTGACAAAGCTTTTTAAATTATTATCTCTACAAAATGAGCTCAAAAGTTGTTTGTCGTAAGAGAAGTAAACGAAAAAGCCGACAACTGCAGGCACTGAGAGATTTCACAGCAGCGGATACGTGTTATAGTGATGGAGCAAATCCTCTGTCTTTTCACATAGGTGAAATCTTCACATTTCTGAGTCGCCGGGACAATTACTGGGTTAATGTGGAGAGAACTGTTCGGAAACACAACCCTTTGCTCAAGACGAAAGATTATTCTGCTATTGAGCGGGGTATTGTGCCACTGGACTACGTAATAGAGATGGAAACCAAACAGAATGAAGGAATGTCTTCTTTGCCCAATGAAGACGATTACCCGGCCCAGGATGGCGACGAAAGTCAAGACAACATCTTCAAGGTATTCAAAAATTAATGTGGTCGACTTTTGTAAGAGTTGCATGTTCCGTGACTTTTCCACTGGTGATCTGTATCGCCAATGTGATATTAAAACTATCTAAAGAATAAAGGAGAAGTTTACAGTCAAAATAGTTTAATTATTTTAATACGAAAATTTTCCGCAAATGGCCCGTTCTAGGACGAACCTTGTCAGAAGCATTCGACTATCGCTTTGCTCAATCCTTTTTCCGACGTAACCGCTCCGTAGATAAATTGTCAAATATAACGGTGGCTTAATCGCTATTTCTATTTTTGTTTGTAGAGATCCCCGGTCGATTACTATCGTTTCAATCCAGACTTGAGGAGTCTTAAGGAGCCAATTTAAAAATTCCTCATCTTATTAAGTTCGATTTCACAGTAGTCGGTTGGGTTTAAAAGGGATTCAGGAGCTTGTAAATAATGAATGCATTGTGGTTATGACTCTAAGTAAATATTATGATATTTTATATGTTGCATTGAATTTGTTAAACCACGAACTTCCAAAATCAAATTTTTGCTTACTCGAACATCCCCGGTTAAACCTTCCATATCCCACATAAGCTTTCATTACTAAAGAATTTGTTTTATAGACAATGTTTTGCCAAATAAATTCACACGAAATTTGACTTCTGGGATATTTAGTCTTCATGGAGTACAAATAATATATGCAAAATGAGTACAAATGTCCCACAATATTTGTACTGGAAACTTGTTTAACAGGTTATCTGTAAGACTCTTTTCCTTCTAAATAAGAATACAAAATACGGTTCCAGGTCAGGATTCGGGAAAATAATAATAATAATAATAATAATAATAATAATAATAATAATAATAATAATAATAATAATAATAATAATAATAAGTAAATATTATGATATTTTATATGTTGCATTGAATTTGTTAGTGCCCCAGGACCATGGTTTGGTCTTGGCCCTAAGGACTCTAAGCAAACATTACGTGAGGACGATAATAATAATAATAATAATAATANAGTTATTATAATGATTAATTGATTTTTAAAATATTATTGTAATAATTATAATCAATTAATTAAAAGTAAATAATTCATGCAAGCAAAAATTATGGGTGAAAATTAACTTAATATTCATTAAAAAATGATTCATTTGTTGATATCTAGGGATCTTTCTAACCAAGTGATTTGTAATTAATGATTAATTATTCTGTCATGTTGTAACATGTACTCTTCAAGATTTTTTTCCATCAAACCAACACTCATGCCGGGAACTTGGTCTTCTAGGCTGATAATAGTTCAAGACAGTTATGAATTTCATTGGCAATATTTTCATCACACAAGTTGATTAACTAGATTTATTAGTTTTAAGTTTCCGGGATATGATCGGTATTCTAGACTTCGCCTTCCCCCCCCCCCCTTTTTTTTCTCTGAAGTTAATACCGGTATATGTTATTATCAATATTAATTAATTTACTGCAACTTCGTTTCCACAATCAGTAGTTTCAAACCCTCACTTGTTCTCCTTTTAATTTACTAAATAATATAATTTTTAATAAATTGTTAACTTGTGCTCAGCTATATAACAGCATTGTGAGGGGGACTGTTTACAGAAAGAGGGACTACAGCTGGACTAAGTAATGAAATTATCTGTTAACAAGTTGTGTTGGTAGAAATCAGTAACTGGAATGTGTATATTGCTGAGAAAGCCTCATTGTTAGAAAGCAATACGGGGTATTTATTATTGATTTACTAATTAGTGACTGACTGTTTTTCTGACTGACTGACTTGCTTGCTTGCTTAATTACTATATTCTGCGTCATTGACTTGTCATTGAACAGTGCAAATAATTGTTAGTAATTTGTCTACTTGCTTGTCATGTGAATTTATTGAAAAAATTTTTCCTACTCATCATTAATTCAGTTGTCATTTGATTTTCAGGTATTATGCTGTTGGTGAAACTGTGGTATCCACTAAAGAGGAACTAGCAATTACACAGCAATCTTTGATAGAGGTATTGCCAGTAGTTGCATTTAACATCATCATCATCTTTCCCTTCTCTCCTTGAGGAGAATAGAGCCATCACTCTGTCTCCTCCAATCAACTTGGTCTTTTGCCAGCACCTCAGTCCCCCTCCACGTCTCGAATTCAAGATGTCCTCTCTCCTTGTTGACCATTCTCTGCCACGTCTCTCTTGGCCTTCTTCTGTTTGCCTTAGGGTGCCCATGGTAGTGCTAATATATAAATTTAGTGTATTATTCTCAATGTTGCTGTTTAATTGACATTTTCCCCTTGTCTCTCATTTGCAGGAGCAGGAGAGAAGTCATCAATATCAAAAGCAACTAGAAGACATCAAGAGTCAAATTAATAAATCAGGCAATAAGTCAGCGGTATGTGTTGATCTCAGCTGTCAAGGCAGGGCAGATCTACCCTATACAATGTATATAAATTATTTTATATATCTTATTATATTTTTGCATAAATACTAAATCTAATTATTTGTTACTTTTGACTGCAGATTAAACTTTTGGACAAAATTATTCAAAAGGAAATCAAATCTCAACCAAATGGATTAATACAAAAGGCAAGATATAAATTATGTTAGTAGTGAATAAATATGATTATTGATTTATGTGCATGGAAGACTTGGTGACCACATAAGCTAATAGTATATTTCGCTTATGAATGGAAAGGTCCAGGGTCGAATATTGAAAATATGCTTTCACTGTGTAATTGGGCAGTAATTCACTAATTGCAGTCCCAGTTAGCACACAAACCATGCAGTTTATGGTGACTTAAATAATGAATTAATTGCAATCATTATGGTAATTTATATATTACTTATAGTTAACATTAAAATTTTCATTAAATTACAGACAAGATCTGAAAGTTCATCTGGTGATTTAATGCTCTCTTGTGCACTCTGCCATGAAAAAATGAGGTGAGTTTAGTTTACTAACACTAAATTTTAATAATAGTTATTGTAAAGTTGTAAAATTAATGACACATTTGAAGGGCTAATAGCCTGACAATTTACATGCAGCTCAGCTTCTGTTATTGAACTTTTCACAAAGGATATCAATTGCTAAGCATGCAATCTCTGGCCTTGCAGGGTGGATGAACTTGCTACGCATTCCAAGGTGTGTTCATCAAAAGATAAAGGAAAACCACCAACAACGTAAGTCAGACAGTTTTTTAGAATATGCGGAATATATTAAATTAGTGCTTGTTGAGTTTGCTTTCCTTGAGTGTCTGATGATTTAGATTCTGATATGCATAAATTATATACATTGACACTGTAATTTTAATTTATTTTCAGTCCAACAACACCAGGCACAGAATTACTTCGTGTTACAGTGACATGTTCTGAAACGGATGAGAAAAATGCCACATTTAAAGTTGTAACAAAGGTGAGAAATTTGTCATAAGACTGGTACCATCACACACAATCGTTAACAGTCTTCACATTAGAAAGAATTCTTGATACACAAATGATTTAGGTCCAAGAAAAAATATGTAGCGTTTTATGAGCCATGATTTCTTCTCAAGACTCATCTGACATTGCACAGACGTACAGACTGGATGCAAGCTCTGAGTATAGCATTGTTAGCTAGTTGCTAGAACTGAACTGAACTTAACAATTTTTCCTTCCAATTTAATTAATAAAATTAAATAACAAAAATATAATTACCACTTGCAATGAGTCACCAGAAACTGTTGTGCCATATTTTCACTTGCAGACGACTCAAGAAAACTTTAAGTTCTCCGACTATGAGGTTCACCGTAGTGAAGGTGATTTTGAGTGGCTTCAGTCAGCATTAGAGGAAGCTTGCCCTGAGAGAATCATCCCTCCTATGGTCTCACACTCTTCATTACATGGTACTACCTACAATAAATTATCAGAAAATTGGGAACTTTGTGCTGCATAGTCAAATTTGAAGTTTTGCCAGACTTGATAGGCCCATAAAAATAAAAGTTTTAAAAGAATTTGTTCATTGATTTCCAGGAAAAATGAGGGAAGTTCAAAGATTTTTATCAAGAATTTGTGCTCACAAGGTAGGGGGACTCATTTAATTTGTTCAGATTAAAAAATTGTTAGGATCATCGATTCTGAGTTTTCCAATTCTACATGCAATGCTGCATGTGTATGTTGTAGGTCAAAGTGAAATTCAGGTTAAAATGAATTCAAATTCCTTTGTCTCTTAACCCTAATTACTCATGGATCATGAATAATTAGGGTTAGAAGACAAGGGGAATTGAGAATCAAACTAGGTTCAAATCATTTTAGCCTGAATTTCATTTTTACCTACAACATGTACATTGCAATCAGAACACCGTCTACCCCTTGTAGTGAAATTCCATTTTACGTTTTTGTCTCATTTTAGGTTTTGAAAAAACATCATCTTCTGAACTTGTTTTTAACTGGTGAGGGTCAGGTAAGGCACTTCTTTTGATACAATTATCAGGCACAGATCTATATAGCCAG